AGCCATCTTGGCACTTGCCCCAGTGGATCATGCCTTGGCACTTGCCCCGGTCCCACCCCCTTCTGCCAGAGACCCTCAAATCTGTCCCACTCCTGCCCAGGCCCCCATAGGCACTCTTGATGTGAATGATGTAGAACTGACCATGCCCACCCAGTAGGCCACACCCATTCCATCCATGCCCACCCAGTAGGCTGCACCCAATCTGGCCACACCCACCTGCCCCCCCCAGGGCAACCACAATGCTGATGCGGCCCTCAGTGAAATTGAGTTTGACACCCCTGCCATAGATATTTAAAGTATACTTAACCTGTATAATTCCCTTACCTATAAATGCTTATATCTCGCATATGATAGAATGCAAACTTATTTCCCAAGAGTGTAAAATCTGCATGAGCTGTTTTACAATTTCTGAACAAGTGCAGGAAAGAAAGCACAGCTTTCTCATATGTTAATCTTCTCTTCAGTAAAATGTATGAAGCTGCTCTGGGCCTTTAAACTTTTTAAGGAAGATAGATTATCTGTCCTTTTAAAGCTACCAGAAGGTTTTTCTTAGGAATTAGCATTCTGAATCAAGGTTGGGAATCATCTTTCTTATGCAGTTGACTAATGGAAAAAAAATTCAGTCGTTTTTCTTAGGAAGTTGACTAATGGGAAAAAAATCAGTCTAGGATGGAATTATTCCTGATAGACTAGTTAGAAGAGGAAAGGTGGACCAGCAGTAATATGAAACATTAGATGCTTCTGAAGGCTACATAAAATTAGTCTGATGTTACATCTTCCTAACGCTTCTCAATTTTTTCTAGTTTTGTAAGTAATATGTAGTCACTCCAAGAGTCTAAACTAAAGTTATAGAGAAATAATAGAAAATGAACTACTATATATATTTAATGCTTTTAATTTTTTTTCATTATATGTTTAAGGAGCCAATAAAATTTTATTTATGCTAACAGATCATAGAATTTTGCATAAAATATCAAACAACAAGATATATAATAAAATAATAAAATAAATGCATAGCTATTTTTCTTCTAATTCAGAAAAGATCTGTCAGAATTTAATTATTCCCAGTGTTTTCTTATATTTCTTCTGACTTATAATTCTTTCCTACCTTTAAAAAAAAGCCTTTTAAGGTGTTGAAAGAAAAGTCTTCATCATCAGGGTCCAGTCCAAGCTGGGAATAAACAAAATGGAGACTGCTTTAGAAAGAAGGTTGTAATTTATTGAAGAACAGAACCATAAGACATGAGGCTCTGGAGCAGCTGACCACATGTTGCTGGGCCTGGTGGGTTTTTAATTCTTTCTTGGGCATTTGTGTTTGGAGTTCCTGTTCCTGTGGCATGAACTTTGACCTGAGGTTTTGAGTGTGTCCTTTTTGGTATTGGTGGGTTAATCCTATTATTTCCCAAAGGTCATATCCTGCTTCTCTGGGACTGGGACTGATGGCTTACTTCTTGTGTTGGATTTCTTGGGTGAGAGGGTTGTTGGTTCTAATTCTATCATTCTGCTATTGTTAGCTGTCAATTTTGCTGCAGGGGATTTCAAAATATTTTGTCTTGAATGCGCTTCTGCCTGGTGGTATTTAGAATAGGATAGGATAGGATAGGATAGGATAGGTTAGGAAGGGACCTTGGAGGTCTTCTAATCCAGTCCCCTGCTGAAGCAGGAAAACCTATACCAGTGGTTCTCAACCTTTTTAATGCCGCGACCCCCCCCAACCGGTCGTAAATCGAGGACTACTCAACCGGTCGTAAGTCAAGGACTACTCAACTGGTTGAGAACCACTGACCTATACCATCTCAGACAAATGATTGCCTAGCCTCTTCTTAAAAATCTGCAGTGATAGAGCCCTCACGATTTCTGGATTTGCTTATGAATGGGGCTTAATGGGATTATCAAGTCTGCATTTCTAAAAGGTGGCTGCCTGAGTTTCTACTGGGGGCTATTAAGAAAATCTGCCCCTGCTTTTCTGCCTTTAAGATTCTTTGTGGAAATATATTTCCAAAATATTTCTTTCTCAGGGGAGGGGGGAGTTACTGTCCTCCTGCAAAGGATTTGTCAGCCAATTGGAAAAATGTATTCTCTTCCATAGAACAGGAAGGGTGGTATTAATTCAAAATGCCATGATTGGTTCAGCCAATGGGACATCAATACAGTGACACCCTCTACATAGGACAGATTTAGTCCTGGAAAAGAAAGTTATTCCATCTCCATTCCAGAATACTGATGGTAAAAGATTAAGCCTGGTGAGATTAAATGCTCTTCTGTAAGAAACAGAAGGAATGATATACAGATACTTAGGAAAAGAAAGGACCAGCCCCATAGGCACCGGTGAGAAATGATTCTGCCCCTTTGGAAGTCTTAAATCCAGAATATGTTGCTGGACCTCCTGTAAATCCCTCTCAGATCCTAAACAATTGAGTAAAAACAAAACAAAAAAACAGAATAGACCATCTGAAGGTCTGCTTTTTTTCTAAGAGGAACCAAGTTTGTAGACAAGGATTAACTGTTTTAAAAAGTTTAACCAGAAATTCATTTTAACCAGCATTTTAGTTGACATGTTCCATCTTTGCACATGTTCAAATGGTGGATGAATAAATGTGAGAGCAGAATGAAAGAAACGTCTTTATGAGCATATCTAATTATTTCATGAAACAAATCCTGTTTCCTCCTCAAAAATGTTTTCTTTGGTTCTATATGCACAGTCAGTCAAAACTGATTATATATTTATCAAATTATAGAATTGAGTCAGGTATGGGGGAATTTATTTAACTTTTTTCTTATTTTGCTTTTCCATCTATCATGCTTTATACTAATGTTGTGGTTGAATGTAAGTTCTGATGTTATCAAATAAAAAATGAAATCCTCAGTCATGGCTGCTGACATTTTAGTCACACATTAAATTTAATACAGATTTCTATGAGAACAGGGAACAAGCTCTGTAGCTGTGTAAAAGCCCATAGAATGTCAATCTCCTCCAATGTAATCTTCTAAAGGGAAGCTATTTGAAAACAGGTTGCCATAGTTACCTATGAAAGCTTGGAGAATTGGCCTTATCCTCCATCTAAATGTTGCTGTAGTTCTTTTCTCTCTTTTTAAAAATCCTTTTTCCTTTCCCTTTTTGGTACTTAAAATCTTGTTAAATTTTCTCTGTTATCTATTTCCCCCCCCCCCTTCATTAACACACAATCACACAAACAAGCACACACCCTAAACAGTAATGTAATGAAGTCATTAGTATTAAGTACTAGGGTTAAGACCAAAATCTCTATTATACAACAAATACTATATGTGAGTTGTAGCGGTTCTTCTTTTAATGTTCCACCTTTTATAACAGGCCAAATAATTTTATGCTTGTAATATTGACGTTAAATTGTAATTATTATTGAAAAAAAGCCTTTTCTCTTCTCATTTCTCAGTAGTCTGAGCTATTAAAATAAATATTAATAATTTTAATTGTATTATATAAACATCATTGAATTGAAACAGTATAATGTATCATGATATAAAGCAACATAATAAAAAAGAAAAAATGTATTCTTTGTATAAATAAATTCTATGGCTATCAATATGCGGAATTTGTTTTACTATTTGTCTTGGAAAAATCAAAGTTAAAGCTACTAAAATGCCACAATGCATTTGGTGGTTTCATTTGACATTCTGTTTTACTATGCTTTATGCCAGGGGTCCTCAACCCCCGGTCTGTGGACCAGTACCTAGGCCGCAGCATGCCAGCAACCAGTCCGCACAAACAAGCAAAGCCCCATCCGCAGGCAGCACACAAAACCATGCACTCTGGTCTACGGAAAAATTTCTCTCAACACAACCGGTCCCTGGTGCCCAAAAGGTTGGGGACCTCTGCTTTATGTTACATCATAAATAAAACCTTTATCTTTACCTAAAGTGCAGATTTTGACAAAAATGCCCTTGTAGAAAATATTACATTGGCTTTATTATAAAGTTCCATTTTCTACAGTGAAAGCATGGTATCTGACCTTATCAGGCACCTTCAGAAAAGTTGAGGAACCATTGCAGATCCATATCAATATCAGCAGTATCACCTGTAGCTCTTTTTTATTCCTACCTTTCTCAAGCCTTCTCCTTTTGAACTCCTTTTTTGGCTTGTCATTCCAAAATTGGGAAAAAGACCATCTTCTCCCATAGGTAGTAAGCCCAGAAAAGTTCTGAGTTCTTGAGTGATCCCTGTGGGATTTCAAGGTATACTAGTATTATGTATAGATATTAAGAATTGATGTGTTTTGGTTTAAACGTGTCTCCAACCGTTTTGGAGGGAAAGTTTAAGTTAAATTTGAGCGGGAAAACACCATTTGATTTGATTTGTCGCCGCCTAGAGGCAGCAAGTATAAATAGCCGTCATTCTGCTGGCTAAGCCAGTTCTGTTGTCTGTTATAATAAATACGTTATACTAAAGCGGTCTGCTTAATGTCTCCAAAAACCCACTATGCAACAACTAGCATTATTGAAAATCATTAGCTTAAATACTAGATGTTCTGTACTTCACACTTACATTAATTAACTCTGTTCTTTATGTTAAATATTCAAATTGTTAGACATTTTAATATGTCCACTGAATCCAACTTTATTCCTTTAGGTCTTGGAACAATATCAAGTTTATAGTATGCTTTGGAAGGGACGGTTCTTACATTTACTTATCAAAATGTACTAAGGAGGAAAAAGAGTGAGAAAAAGAAGTGGAAAGAAATGGAAGGACAAAATTCTGAAAACTTGTTTTAAAGCTTCATTACTAAAACAGACAGTTACATAATAAAAGTCTCGTGCTAAGCCCTCAAGATTCTATCAACTAAAATCAGAATAAAGTAGAATTGGAAAATACTTTCTGTCTAATATTTTGGTCTTATATTCTTAATTTAATGCCAAAGAGTATTTTTCACATTTTTTATTTATAGCTTATTTATTGTAAAACTTAAATTGCTATGAAGATCTTTGTGGCATTGTGCAGTGAAGTTTCTGTTGTTGTTTAGGTTTGTCTGCAGCGAAGTTATTGCATGACTCAGGATTGGATGTTATAGTCTTAGAAGCCCGAGACAGGGTTGGAGGCAGAACTTACACAGTAAGGGTAAGTACTGTGTGTATGTTTGTGTGTGTGTGTCTTTCTTTCTGTGTATAATTTTCCACTATAGAATGTGAGAATGTAGGGTTTCCCAGTATTTTGCTATTCAAATTGGTGCTCCATGTTGTGTTCCAATTGCATCTGTTCCTTTAATCAGGAAGCCCTGCTGATAGTCACTCATGCCTTAGTCACTTTATGACTGGATTTCTATTAATGGAGCTGCCCTTGATGACCCCTTGGGATTTTAAATTGATCCAGGATACAGTGGTATGGATAGTTATGGGCAATTCTTGCTATTCCAATGTAACTCTTTTAATTCAGGAGTCCCCAACCTCTGGGCTATGGCCCATTACCAGGCCATGGCCTGTTCACATCCAGACCACGTGAGTGATGGCTAGGCACACATGTATGTGCATGCAGCTCAACTTGCTTGTGCGGCCTGGTTCCCCTCCCCCCTCCCACGCAGCTGAGCCACCAAGCCACAAAGGTTGGAGACTGCTGTTCTAATTCATAAACTGCACTGGTTACCAGTTCACTCTCAGTTGCTGGTCTTACGTATGAAAATCTTTGTGGTATAGGCTTCTAGTTTGCGATCGCGACTCCGGTGGATGCGCGGGGGGAGCGCTCTCTCTGCCACCCATTTTTCCTTCATTGGGAGACCCTGAAAAGGGTCGAAAGTCGCCCTGGAGGGGCGACGGCCATGAAGAAGACCCTCAACAGATTGTGGAAGGGGGGTAGCCTTTCTGTTTGATCCGAGGCAGTTCCTTTGGACCGATGGAGAAAAGATCAGCCATTAACATGGCCGATCACTAAGCTGTACCAGCCAAAAGCCAAAATCACCGCCAAGCACCACGCGGAGGAATTGGGTGAGACCTTACCTTACCCTTCTTATGTCCCAATTACCTTCCTTAAAAGCCTTTTGAAATTTCTTCCCCCCTTTTAACATAGTGGCATCTGCCTACTTTGGGAACATAAAGCTTTGAAAAGAAAAGAAAAGAACAACTAAACTAAACAATTAAATAACTGGACTTGCACTTTTTGGATATTTGGGATTCCCATTTCTACGGGGACCTATTACCTTATCTACTTGTTAAGTTGGAAAAAAAGTTAAACTGGATAAAAGTCTAACTTGAGTTTGGAAAAATACATGCTATCGGGGACATCTTGTGGCGAAGCCTGGTATAGCAAGTGAGTTTTTTTTTTGACTGTGAGACCTGCTTATTGCCTAGATTTGTCCTTGGTACTATCTAAAAAAGATAAGAATTTGAAACAGCTGGGTGGTGAAAATAACTTCTAGGAATAGTAGAGGTAGACATTCACTGACTTTTATCAAAAATAGCCTCCACTAAAAAACTATCTGCAAACACCATAGAAATGGAGGAATACTACCTACAACTTAACTATAAACCTATACTTGAAAAAAATCCTTGAAGCTACTGAGCTAATGAATTCCAGATTGAAAGACAAAGATGCCACTTTAAATTTACAAAATGGAGCCCAGATTTCAACTGATGAACTTACAATCCAAAAAGCAATAGGAGAGGAACAAATTAATATCAAAGAGGACCTTAATGAACAACAAGTACAATCTACTGAGAACTTTGATAGTCCAACCTTGATTTCAACTAAAAAAACTGCAATTCAAAAAGTAACAGAAACTGAAGAAAGCAACACCAAGATGGAGGGTGCTATAGATCCACAAATACAGCATATTGAGAACCTAGATAACCTAGACAATCAAACAACAACCACAACATTGGACATGACCTCTTACTCAAGCCAGACAAAACCGGAAGAAGAAGAAGACCAGACTGAATTGACAATAAATACTCTAAACCAAACATGGAGATTTGAACTATTAGGGCAACAATACAATGATTATAAAGGGGCCAGTTCCTTTAAAAAATTGATAACTGGATGGTCTCCCTTGATTCAAATAACATGTGTAGGAATGAAGGGAGATCCACTTGAGGATTTAAAGGCACTGGTATGGAAGCCTGCTTGGCATAAAAAGAAAGCTAGAGTTAGACTTAAAAAGTAGGATATTTTTGTTTTTGACTTATAATGGAAGAGCCTAAAATCTTACTTAATGGGCCAAGGAGATTTTAAAAGATATTAATTGATTTAATATTTGGGACTTAGATTTATAAGGGAAATGAAAATTAGCCATTAGAATATAGTTTTGAATTATAATATGGAAGTTGGATTGAGACAATAAAGGATACTTTATTAGTAAGTGATGAGGTATTAGGATGAGAAATAGAATATATTTGTGAAATAAAGTAAGAATGTATTTAAATAAACAATATGTGTATTTTAGATATGACAACTATTATGTAATGAAATAAGGGAAATTTGGGTTACCCAAAATCTAAATATTATGGATACTAAAGGCTAAACTGGAATACTGTAATTGAAATTCGGTAAAATTTAAAAACAGGACATGGATATGTATAAGTTAAAATATATTGATAAATACCTTAATTGATCGAGTTATAATTAGAAATGTATTAATTTGAATGTGATATAATAATTAAGGGAAACAGAGAGGGAATTTTTGATGATGTAATTTGAGACATGTACGAAAGATTTTTGTTACTGGACTATTGATTACCCAATCACCACGCTGCTTCCTAAATACTTGGATGTAAAACTGGAAAATTAATAAAACTTGTTTTTTTAAAAAAGAAAATCTTTGTGGTATAGAGTTAGCTATTTTCGTCTTGAATCTTTTCTATCTGTCCAGTAAGACTTATAGAGTCAGTGTGCTCTAGGGTCTGTCATACAGGCAATCTTACCTGGCAGAATTCAAAAGATGTGCTTTCTTTGTTGCTGTTCCTTCCCTATGGAACAACATACCCCTTGAGCTCTATCTGGCAGCAATTCTGAAGGCCTTTAGAAGGGCATTAAAGAATGGTTCTTATTCAAACATTGAGTTTGGGAAAGATATGGCCTTGGATGAGTTTTTCCCCCCAGCAATTTATGTGACTATATATCTCTGGTTTATTTATATTTTTTTGTCTTTTTATCATGTAATCTTATGGATTTATTTTTGTTTTTAATGAGGAATGCTACTCTTAATCATATGCTGAGTGGATAACTATAAACACTAGTTAAACAAATAAATGAATAAAAGTTAACCTTACCCAAGCATGAACAGCTTCATCAAAATTGGATCATACTTCTTTGAGCCAAGATCTGATCCTTGCAGATTCCTTAAAAGATTACCTTTCTGACCAGCAAAAAAGGACATTGTAATCATTATGCAAAAAAATATCAATGTTGTATAATGATAGATACATTGACACACGTTTCCCTTTTTCCCATTCACGTTAATGATACCCACGTATTCATTTATCAATACATTATTTTTTTTCTCAACCAGAATAAGCATGTCAAGTATGTTGACTTGGGAGGAGCATACGTGGGACCCACACAAAATCGTGTTTTACGACTGTCTAAGGAGTTAGGACTTGAGACTTACAAAGTGAACGAAGTTGAGCATCTTATTCATCATGTCAACGTAAGAACAACTGTTTCTTAACCTCTTTTATGATGTGGGAGACTCACAAAGCTTTAATAACTTTTGAAATTTTATATTTTGGAATGGTTTGTTAAATACTCAGGTTAACAAGATATGAAAGAATTCTGAAATTGAAGAAGTTGAGTTTTCTTCAATTTGTATTATTTCAGGAAGTCAAAGTAGGCAGAATATTTTATTTAGCATAAAGATTAAAAGATAGATACAATTGGGGTGATATATATAAGTCAGGTAGCTGGCAGAAATATTTTGGCTATTTCTTTTGGAGGTATCTCCTATCAAATCTGTTTAGTGGTTGACCTCTGGTCATGAATATTATTGTGTTAGCTAATATCACTGACACCAATTGTCAGTCCAAACCATAGTATATTTTGTAAGGATAAAATGTGGGGAGAGAACCCCATATGTACATTGTCTTCAGAAAAACCAGTGAGCTATAAGTAATGCACAATACCAATTTTATGGCTTCCAGACAACCTTTATTTTGCACACCAAAATTTATTGGTAAAAATTATGTTTGATAGTGAATCTTTCCATTTTTTCTCTCTCAAAAAGTAAGGCGCAAAATTTAGTGGTATATAATTTTAAAGTGCAATTTCCTAGCAAAAACAAACTTTTGGGAGAGAGACCACTGGCTACATTAAGAAATTTAAATTTATGGAAAATTTCCTTAACTATATCTCCAAACCAATCTCAGGACATAGTACATAATTGTTTAATATAAGCCTCAGATTGATTGCCCTATTATACAAATGTAGTTTGTTTTCTTTCATAGAGGAAGGTTAATAATAATTATTTGACCATTTACCTTTATGTTAGAGAAGTGTAGAAATGTCAGCTATGACTATTACATTGTATTTAGCAAATCTCATGAATTTTACAATAACTATAACAACAGATGGTGATAATCAGTACATTTCCCTCCCACTTCTCCGGCATTGCCTAGGTCCCTTGAGATGATTCATAAAACTAAGCTAAGATCTTATAAATTAACAACAACAACAAAAAAATGAAAGTTGAAAGTTCATCTCACCCTGGCAAAAGCACAGGACCCCTACATAATTTAAAATTGGGAAAGCAATATAGACAAGCTTCTCCAAACACTTTTGGTATACCACCAAAACAGTATCATCGGGTAATATCAATGTCTCTACTTATTGTGTTTTTCCAGTGTTGAATTAAAATAAGAGGATTGTTTTCCTTGACATGAAGCCAGTTTTTAGAGGAGAGAAGATAGCAGACAAAAACAGGCCTACTTTCAAATGAACTTCTACATCATCTTATTGATTCATGAACCAATTAACTTCTCAATATACCTTTTTTTAAAGGCTCATCATGAACCCAATCTCTGCAGATTGTCATGAAACTTGTACCACACATTTCTCATCAAATCCTTCTTGTAGGAATTCATTTTAATTCTGCTTTTAAATTTTAAAATTCCCAGATTTTACCTTTTCTCATATTTTCTAATCAAACTTGTAAATAACAATATTATTTTCGTGTTGTGACACTCCTTTTTGTATTGAATGTATTATTCTAATTACCCTGATTTAATAATCTTCAGAATTAACTGTAAATTATAACTTTGATGATATGGTTTTGAACATGTTCTATTTCTTCTGTAATAAGCAATCTATTGTTTCTAAGAACTTTGTGTATGGCCTTATCAGACTTGACTTGACAGGTATCAGATTTTTCATTAAGCATTTATGGATCAATATCACAAGATTTTGTATATATGTGTTTATTATATCTCTATGTCTTCATATTTATATCTCTTGAACCCTGTAGAATATTGTCTCTGGTTAGATGCTGCCATTGCTTCCATTGGCAAACACTATAAACTTGCAAATATATACCAATGCCCATGTGAGAGATAAGCTGAAAGCCAATAGTCTTCAGTGCAGAGTTGTCCTTTATGTCAACACCAACAACCAGTGTCAAGGCCATGAACCCCAGGGCAAACAGTCTGTTGAAACATAAGAAAAGAAAAGGCATTCAGCTTCAGCTGTCATGATGTAAGAGAGAAATGCAGTCTCATGCTGACAAAAGGCAACCAAGATCCTTCTATGTCATATGTCTAGGAAGGTTTGACTTTTTGACATTGATCCTTTCGGTTGGGAAGGTAATTAATAATTTATATTTTCAGAAATAGTTAAAAAGTTGCTGACTTTTTGTATCCTTATTCCCCAAAAGATTTAAGTTAGAGCCATATTAGAAAAAAAATGAAAACCTAGTTACAATGCAATCTCTTTTTTATTAGATAGTGTCTTATTATCAGAGAGGTTTCTTATGTTATTTATTCACTATTATCCTGCCTTTATTATTTTTATAAATAACTCAAGGCAGTGGACGTACTTTCCTCCTCCTACTTTCCCCACAGCAACAAACCTGTGGGGTGTGTTGGGCTTAGAGAGAGTGACTAGCCAAAATCACCCAGCTGGCTTTCTTGTATAAGGCATTATGGCCTCTAAAGACTCTCCAAGATTTCAATTTTGCTGTGCTGATTATAGAATCCTGAGTATACAGTAAAGATGTCAAAAGGGGAAACTTGAACTTTTGCACATTTAAATGAACATAATTCTGTGTATCTTCTATCAAATATTATTATTAAAGATACCAAATGAATTGAGATCTAACACTGCCCCATAAAATCTTTCCTATCCAATGATGCATGCTGTGATCATATGTTCATATTAGTAAAGTTGGAAGGGACCTTGGAGGTCATCTAGTCCAACCCCCTGCTCGGGCAGGAAACCCTACACCATTTCGGACAAGTGGCTGTGATTATCATGCTTAACTTGCATTTTTAATTAATTTGTCAATTTAATCAGACACTTTACGATAAAGCCTAACCAAATCCAATTATATCAAGAATAGAAATCAATTAAGCTGTTTTGGTGGAAACAAAAAGGCTAATCTGGACAAAATCCTTATACATTACCTTATATGGCTTATTTTTATCATGAACATTTGTAGACCGTGATAAGCATTTCTGAAATATTCTAAATAGAGACTAAGCATTCTAATGTTTTCCAGTTGGTGGGAACTGTATTCCCAATAATCCTGAATTTATCTGAAACTGGAAAATTCTTAAGTATTCTTATGTAGAAGTGTAAACCTTCTTAATTAACACTTGATTTCCCAAAGGCTCTCAAATCCTATAGCATCAGGTACTGATCTGGAGAGCAGATAAATCTCCTATAATGTACTCTTTCCCTTTACTATTGCCAAAATATTGTTGTGAGTAAGTATATTTTAAAGGATAGAATTGGACAGTGAAGAGATTGGGGTAAGAAAATTGGATAGCATATTAGCCTTCCTATCTATGTGGTTGCTGAATCTACCTGATGATACGACACAAGAGATGTGGTTGCTAATACCCACTTGATGGCACATCATAATCCTATCACTTTTAGTCAAGTCTGGATTGGAAATGAACAGAACCAGATGATTTCCTAACATTTTGGAAAACAGCTAAGTCAGAGCTGGAAGCAGCACAGAAAGAGAGCACTGCAACTTCTTCAACATCCCCTTTTCATGACTTTGAATGTTCCTGCTGTTTCTGCTGTTCTCTCTTTGCTCTTTTAGTTGTTCAAGTTGTTCTTACCTAGGTTGGCCACTTACAGATACTATTCTAATACAACTTCTTAGCACTAATATGAAAAGGAGAGTTTTGCTCTCCTTGTTCTGACTGTGGTCGATAGAGAAGTATAATAGAAATGGTGAGCATTTGAATTCACATCCTTTCCTGGACTTTTTAATTGTAGCTAGATGGAATAACTATCAGTTTTGAGTTGTTTCTTCTTTCATCAACCTTACAGGGCAAATCTTATCCCTTCAAAGGGCCTTTTCCTCCAATGTGGAATCCCATTATTTATTTGGACTACAACCATCTATGGAGGACACTGGATGAAATGGGGAAAGAGGTAAGATTTGGACAAGTTGCAACTTGAGATATGTATGTAATTAGTCAATATGCTGGCTGGGGAATTCTGGAAGCTGAAATCTACACATCTTAATGTTCCTGAGGAGCTATTTTTCAATGTGAACATCAACAGAACTAGGCAAAGCAGCCTATTCTTCAGAATGCAAGTCTGTTTCCATTCATGTGTTCTCCTTCCAAGATGCCTCTGTCCCTCCGGGGGGGGGGAAAGGGGTTGATTTTTCTACTACTTATGAGGGTATGAATGAAAGAGACCCAATATCTTGAACAGCCCAATTTCAAGACAGTTTATTTATAGTACTAAGATGCTTCATTGGATAAACAACAAATATTTATTTCGTTTATTAGTTAAATTTAATTAATTAGATTTAAAATATTTGTGATTTATGTGAGAATTTCCTTTTGTTTTATCCTCACAAAAGCAATTTTGTGAAACTGGCTGCATGGTCAAAAAGTGTTCTTTGGTCAACAAACATTTGGTGGTTTAAAAAAACCCTGCAAAATATTCATTGATACAGTTCATCTACTGTACCAACTCAGAATAAAATACTTTCCTCTACTAAAACCCTGTAACATAAATGACAGAATTGTTATAAAAGCTGACCAATTTAAACCAATTCAAGAAAGTCTTTAATTTTGAAGAACAATCATTCCTTTGTTGCAGACTAGGGAAAAAGCATTGGGAGCTAATAAAAAGGTTGGTTGATTTTGAAACTGTGCATGATCATCTCTGTGTTGTGTTTTTTCTTTACCCATGTGTCCTTTCCTTTCCTAGATTCCTAATGAAGCTCCATGGAAAGCACCACATGCAGAGGAATGGGACAAAATTACCATGGAACAGTTGCTAGATAAAGTGTGCTGGACAAAGTGAGAAGTAGTTTTATATATATTTATATATATACAAGTATTCCATTTTGAAAGATAGAAAGAATTTTAAGTAGAAAGAATGCTATCCACCATAGAAAATGGTCCCTGGTCAATTTTATTTCACAATTAAATGGTCTGATGACATAATTTGCACATTAATGTTTAGGTGTATAGATCTGTAAAACACAGTTTTATACATACATACATACATACATGCATACATACATAATGTTTCTGATATTTAAGCCAGGTGACTATTTTTCTTCATAAGATCATTTTGAACCCAAAATCTGCATAAATCTCATTTTCTAAAGTAGTTTCTTTGGGTATCATCATCAAGCTTTGCCCAGATTAAGCTCTGGAAATGCCCTTGACAATAGCCTCCGACAGCAAGGTGGGGTTTCATATAGCAATGCTAAAATAAAAAGATAGCAGCAAATTATAGTTGCTTATTTAAAAGTAAGTACTGTTGACTCAGTAAAATCTGTCTCAGATTGGCATGGAAAGGTTTACATTGTTATAAATTCCTGCTAGTACTTTACGGAATAACCAGGACACAATGTTTTTCTTTATATTTATTAAAACATGTATTGTGCTAGATAGCATAAAACAAAACAAAATAACAATATTAGCTATTTGGGGGAACAAATCGAAAGAAGTCTCAGAATGATGGGAAATAAATAAACATAGTAAGAACAGGCCACTGGTAAAAGCACAAAAATAGTCAATTAGAGAACTCCTGATGCCTCTGTAAAGAAAATCATTGTTCTTTCTTATGAAATAAACCATTCTTTGTCTCCAAAGGAAATGAAATCCACAACTCCATTGAGAAAAACTTCTGTCCCATGTAAAACCACTTAATCTTAAAGTTGTTTTAAGTGCCTTAAATATGTCTTAAATATTACAAGAGAAAAAAAACAGATTTGTAAGGATGTTAATACGCTGGCCTCACCTAATAGTATGATTTCCATTAAATAACATCCAGGAAATGTTATCCAGGAGACCATTTCTAAAAGTAATTAGCAGATGTTTGCATTGCTAATGCTTTAGATAGCATGGACCAAGAAGGGGAAGTGGTGCTTTCAAATATTTTGGACTATGGCACTCACAGTTCCATGCCCTTAGCCATATTGAGTGTGATAAAACTGAAGTCTCAGATTTATGAAAGCCACTATCTCTTTGACTTCCTTTTGCCCAGTCCAATTGTTTGGATGGTCAGACTTTCTATTCTACATCAAATGCACTGCATTAATCAAAACTGGATCCAATAAATCAGTCTTAACATTGACACTTGTTCTTTGTAGCATTAAATACTTCTGTTTATAGTGAGCATTCCTAAAATAAGGCTGAGTGGCATAGCTTTGTTCCGTCTTCTAAATTAGGGAGGGAATCTGAAATCCCATTCTGTCCTCCACTATCTGATGCAGAAAGGACACATAACTTTTGCATAACTTAAAATAAGTTTAATGTGTTTTTTTTTAAAGAAAGACACACACTACCATCATCTCAAATAGAAAACTTTCCCAGCCAGCTCCAACTCACTCTGTGTCATCACTATGCCACTAACATCTCTTATTTCTTCTCAAAATGACAAGCACAGCTTGCTTTGAACTCTGGCTTCTGAAAGAAGAGCAAGAGAAATCCCCAGAGCAGCAATTCAGCTTGGAAAATATAACTAGAGCATGTGGCTCACTAATATAATAGATTTTTCCAGTTATTGGGAAAACCAGTTGTACCACTATCCAATGAAATGCTATGTCTTATTTATTTCAACATGGTTTACTGAAAAACCATATGAAGCTAAGCTTATATTATGCATTAAGCCATAAATCATCATTTACCGGGCCTATTGTCCTCTTCATATAACTTGTTAAACCACAACTAAGTAAAGGACATTGTGACTTAGCATGTTGTATGACCCACACCAATTTCAAACTTAGGAATCTGACAAAATTAGATGGAGGTTGTTGTGTCCTGAGCCTGCAAAAGCAGGCTCGGGACATTGCATGGGTCCCGGGCATTCCAAAAGCTGCCTGGGACCAGACAGAGCGGCGCCAGCCTTGTGTGCATGCGCAAGGCGCGAAAACTCTCTGTTTCTATTGTTTGGGTTTCTGGCCATTTATTTATTTATTTATTAGTAAAATTTATATGCCGCCCAATCCCTGCGTGCCTTTTGCTGTTTGCTTGGTTGTTGGAAAAGGAGAATAAAGAGTAGTTAACTGTTACCATGTGTCTTCATCATTCGCATGCGAACGAAGGATTCAACAGAGGTCATATAGGAAAACATGACAAGAATACCCATAATGTACCTCTATAATCATCTGTAATGCTATGTGTTTCTCTAACTTAGCTTTTAGTTCTAGATAAAATGTGTGAAAATGGTTTTCAAATGAAATCTTTGCAGAATTTCAGCAGACTAGAGCACCTTCTTTTTCTTCCTTTAAAATCAGCCACAGTTGTGTGTTTAGTGTGCTTCTTTATTTCTTATGTGCCTTTGTGATCAAAATGTATATTGTTGTGTTTTTATGTGTGTGTGTGTGTGTTTGAATGGCCTCTCCTTAGGATACAATGGAGCAGAAGGGTAATCTCCATTTTTTGAATTTTCAATTCTTCCAGCCAATGGAGCAAACTTGCATTTGCTAGTATTGCATGTCTTTAATGGTTGAAAATGCATGAATGGGAGGGGGGTATATATTAGTTAGATTTGGTGAGTTTTAGCATGAAAAATAATTGTTAAAATGATGGAGATTAGTTGATGTCCAGTAAATTGTAGAGTTCCCTTAATTATTCAAAAGTCAAGATATGTTCAAAACTGAGCCATCCAACAGTTGAATCCAAAGGGAGGAGTTAAGCTGTCACATGAGCCCAGAATGCACTGAAACTTTAATAAACATGTGTGCATAATAGCTAGTCCACAGAATTGGACTCTGTTGTCTACATCTTGCAGCTGAGCTGATTTGAGTTTGGCTCATATGGTAAGTGATCCCAAAAGGGAAGTGTGTTTTTGCACAGGTTCTTGCCTTTTTCCTGCTCCTTCCCTGTTCCTATACTACACAAGGAGTTTAAAATAGAAGCTATGATTGATCCAGGCTGTTTTCACAGTTGCTGCTCCCATAAACTCCTAGTCCACGAGAAGGGCAAGGGAAGGTGACTTGATCCTTGGCAGTGCACCATCTTCCATATAAATGGTGGGTCTGTCTTGAGGTTTCTTTCTCCTCTAGCAACTGCCTTATAGTTAAGGGGGTGGGCAGGTGATGGGATTGCTGTTGTTCCAGGACACTCACCCTCTTTTGCTCTCACTCCCGACAGGCGGGCAATATTCAAAATACTTTTCCTGATGCTTTTATGTGGGCATTGTTTGAGCTGTATCTCCCTCACTCTGAAAAGGCAAATGTTGACATGTTACAGTTTCACCATCATAGCTACAAATAAGTTTTTAAATGCAAAGGGCAAATGGTAGCTTGGTGGTTTCTTCAACCATTTTGCTTTTTAATGTGTGCAAATGGCTCATGCAAATGCAGCCAGGATGTTTTAGAAATCTCTGGTAGAGAGTGAATACTGAAAATATATTTAATATCCCTTATGCATGAGATGGGGAGGGAATTTGCTGCTCTAGAGCCTGCAGTAATTTGGGATAGCATACTTATTTTATTTTTGCATTTTTCTTTTGGTTTCAATTTGTTTTGATGTTTTCTGCCTGATTTCTTGGCTTCAAATTGCTCTGTATGGGATTGAAGAGCAAATACAATTTGATGTGCAAGTGTCTTTTGTGAAAGCAATTGTGGAGGTATTTTTAATTACTTATTACTGTAAGAAAAGTAACACACACATATCAAAAGGCAAATAAGGCAAATTTTTTGGTGCCAATCCACTGCTTTCAACTTGTACTGTCTCTAAGCTAAGCACGACTATCTATGCCAGCCAGACAAATGTTACATTGGTTTCTTTATCTTCATATAGCAAGGATAATAAGTACCTCTTATAACTGCATGCATTATTTATTTGTTGGCATGATAAAGCACCAAGCAAAGGGATAAACAATATATGAATTATATGACTGTCAAAACCTAAATCCTCAGTATTGCCTAAAATTATGAGTGTTTCCACCCTCTCCTCCAATGTTTGACATGTAGAAATATTACTCTCATATCAGAAGCATGAATTTAAAACATATCCAAATGTCAGGTCTCACCAGAATCCAGCTCCATCTTTAAGCGCTGAATGTTTTATTACTAAAAATGAATAAGAAATGTTATCTGGCAAAATGAAAAAAAAAAAAAAAAAGAAAAATGCCCACAGTTTTCCTTTTGCTTGCAGGTATTTCTTATATTCAAAACTCTCTGGTTACATATGACTGTAAGATTTCAAACTATAATTAGACTGTATTGATCCACAAAAAATGTCTCGTATGTATCCCGACTTACAGCCCAAATGTTGGAGATGTGGTTGTTTGGATGCTACTTATTACCATATTTGGTGGTCGTGTAAAAATATAAAAGCCTTTTGGATTAAGATATGGTGGAATATTCAAAGAATTTTTAGAAGGAGGGTAAAATTTACCCCACAATTGTTTTTGCTAGGTATTGTTACCGATTGTGATACTAAGGAGGTTATATTGATGTTAAATTTAATTACAGCCGCAAGGTTGTTAGTAGGGCAATACTGGAAGAAGGAATCTTTGCCTACTTTGCAAGAGTGGTTTTTTAAAGTATCCTATCTGGCGGAAATGGCAAAGATTTCGGCTTTTTTAAAGGATCAATCGCAAGAGAAGTTTTTTGTGGTATGGGAAAAATGGGTAGATTTTATACAACATAAGTTGGATATAAAAAAATATTAGTTTATCAATAATTTATACACAAATTTTAATACTTTATAGATTGTATTATTTTTTTTTCTTTATATGTTTTATTATTATTTTACTTTCTTATATTTTTCTTCTTTCTCTTTATTCTTCTTTTTTTAAGTATTTTTTTTCTTTCTTTAATATTTATGTCTTTTATATAT